TAACACCTGTTGCATCACACGGAGGGGACCTGACACCTGTTGCATTACACGGAGGGGTCCTAACACCTGTTGCATCACACGGAGGGGACCTGACACCTGTTGCATTACACGGAGGGTCCTAACACCTGTTGCATCACACGGAGGGGACCTGACACCTGTTGCATTACACGGAGGGGTCCTAACACCTGTTGCATCACACGGAGGGGACCTGACACCTGTTGCATTACACGGAGGGGTCCTAACACCTGTTGCATCACACGGAGGGGACCTGACACCTGTTGCATTACACGGAGGGGTCCTAACACCTGTTGCATCACACGGAGGGGACCTGACACCTGTTGCATTACACGGAGGGGTCCTAACACCTGTTGCATCACACGGAGGGGACCTGACACCTGTTGCATTACACGGAGGGGACCTAACACCTGTTGCATAACACGGAGGGGTCCTAACACCTGTTGCATTACACGGAGGGGACCTAACACCTGTTGCATTACACGGAGGGGACCTGACACCTGTTGCATTACACGGAGGGGACCTAACACCTGTTGCATTACACGGAGGGGTCCTAACACCTGTTGCATTACACGGAGGGGACCTAACACCTGTTGCATTACACGGAGGGGTCCTAACACCTGTTGCATCACACGGAGGGGACCTGACACCTGTTGCATTACACGGAGGGGACCTAACACCTGTTGCATTACACGGAGGGGACCTGACACCTGTTGCATTACACGGAGGGGACCTGACACCTGTTGCATTACACGGAGGGGACCTAACACCTGTTGCATTACACGGAGGGGACCTAACACCTGTTGCATTACACGGAGGGGACCTGACACCTGTTGCATTACACGGAGGGGACCTGACACCTGTTGCATTACACGGAGGGGACCTAACACCTGTTGCATTACACGGAGGGGACCTAACACCTGTTGCATTACACGGAGGGGACCTAACATCTGTTGCATTACACGGAGGGGACCTGACACCTGTTGCATTACACGGAGGGGACCTGACACCTGTTGCATTACACGGAGGGGACCAGACACCTGTTGCATTACACGGAGGGGACCAGACACCTGTTGCATTACACGGAGGGGACCAGACACCTGTTGCATTACACGGAGGGGACCTAACACCTGTTGCATTACACGGAGGGGACCTGTCACCTGTTGCATTACACGGAGGGGACCTGACACCTGTTGCATTACACGGAGGGGACCTGACACCTGTTGCATTACACGGAGGGGACCTAACACCTGTTGCATTACACGGAGGGGACCTAACACCTGTTGCATTACACGGAGGGGACCTAACACCTGTTGCATTACACGGAGGGGACCTAACACCTGTTGCATTACACGGAGGGGACCTAACATCTGTTGCATTACACGGAGGGGACCTGACACCTGTTGCATTACACGGAGGGGACCTAACACCTGTTGCATTACACGGAGGGGACTTGACACCTGTTGCATTACACGGAGGGGACCTAACACCTGTTGCATTACACGGAGGGGACCTGACACCTGTTGCATTTCACGGAGGGGACCTAACACCTGTTGCATTACACGGAGGGGACCTAACACCTGTTGCATTACACGGAGGGGACCTAACACCTGTTGCATTACACGGAGGGGACTTGACACCTGTTGCATTACACGGAGGGGACCTAACACCTGTTGCATTACACGGAGGGGACCTGACACCTGTTGCATTACACGGAGGGGACCTGACACCTGTTGCATTACACGGAGGGGACCGAACACCTGTTGCATTACACGGAGGGGACCTAACACCTGTTGCATTACACGGAGGGGACCTGACATCTGTTGCATTACACGGAGGGGACCTAACACCTGTTGCATTACACGGAGGGGACCTAACACCTGTTGCATTACACGGAGGGGACCTAACACCTGTTGCATTACACGGAGGGGACCTGACACCTGTTGCAATACACGGAGGGGACCTGACATCTGTTGCAATACACGGAGGGGACCTGACATCTGTTGCAATACAAACAGAAATCCTGACACCTGTTCCATTTTAAAGATGGAGCCGAACATGTGATGCATTACAGATAAGCAACCTGAAGCAGAGTGTGAGAAAATGGTTTCTTAAGCTTCCCACAGCTGGTTTCAAGTGGCATATTGCAGAGCAACTGCACGTAGGGAAAGTAACCCCTGTGCAACCCAAAGTGTACAGGACAAGTACAAAAAATATATGTTATACACAATCGACTTGAGAATAGTCCAGGACGAACCGAAACGTCGTCGTCCCTTCATTTTCTAGTGTGTAGTTTGGTCAACGTTATCTGCCTTATTATTGGCCTAAAGCCACGCTTGTTTGATCTCTAATGAGAGCATGATACGAGCAGCATTATAATGCCCCGATAGCCCTCGTGTCAACAAGGAGATAGCGAGGACACAGCATTTTCATCGCCAGGTATTGTTGACCCATATGACGCCATCTTATGAATGGTTGCAGTTGTGACCATTTTCCAGTCCTTCTGACAGCTATAAATACTGGAGATCCTATGTGTTTTTGTTTATCCAGGGCTCGACCTGCTGCATGGGTAACAGCTTCTGCTCCATATCAACCTACCTTGGCTTTGCACGCCCTGGAGAGGCCACTCCAGAACGACAACCAGAGCGCAACTCCATAGTCTCCTGAGACTGATGGACGCCTACTAACATCTACCAGATTCGGGTTCAGGAGTGAAGCAAGGAGCTTCCACCTCGCATCACTGCAGTTAGAGAGATTCTTCGAAATCCAATTAGTTCCTGCAATTACTTGTTGTCATCGCTCGGGTATGACTGATTGACGTGGACAAGTCAACTCAATTTTGATGTGATGGTTGAGACTTGCGTCACCAAGATTTTTCAAGACAATCACCGCCTTTTACTTGGAGAACTGTGTGGGGGGAGAGATCTCTGGCGCGGTTAATTTTTCACACGGGTGAAAATATTTTTAGATCTTCGTTTTGACTGAGGACGTTGAAGAGATGTGCCTGTGGAATTAAAGGGATGTGGGGCAGGTGTAGGAGTTAACGAGGCACATCTCTTGGTGTGAAGAGTTGAACTTATTGTTGAAGGTTGTTGTAGAGTTGAAGGTTGAAGAGTTGTGTGCTTATGTTGAACTTGAAAAAGACAGCTGTGGAAATAAAGTTTTTTGTTGTTTTTAAGTTCTACAACACTTACAGGTTATAGAACTCGTATCCCTGTAGCGTGAAGCAAAGGAGCCCAAAAGCAAAGTGACGCAATAGACCAGATGGAGCAATAGACATTCACTTACCTGATAGATACCTGCTTAATGGGGGGTTCTGGGAGTCCTTCTACTCCCCCAAGCCCGGCCCGAACCCAGGCTTGTGAGAGCTAGCTCCAACAGCCTGTTAGGACAGAGAGCCCAAAGCCCAAGGTGTGCTGAAGAAAGAACACGCGGGATAGGTGGTTGAGCAGTTAAGGAGCAGTGCTCGTAAGATATAGAGACCATCACCTTTGAACACGTAAGTAATCCCCGCTACTCAAGCTTAGTGGGTGACCGGTTATGCTTCGGAATTATTAGCAGCCCAGTGGATACGTATCACAGGGAACTGCGTATCATATCTTTCATGATATCACATGATATCATAGTTATGTATCATATCCCATATGATATAATTACATATCATATATTTTAGGATATCACATGATATCATAGTTTTGTATCATATCCTTTATGATATCACATGATACCATAGTTATGTATCATATAATTTATGATATCACATGATATCATAGTTATGAATCATATCCTTTATGATATCACATGATATCATAGTTATGAATCATATTCCTTATGATGCCACATGATATCATAGTTATGAATCATATCCTTTATGATATCACAGTTATGTATCCAATTCTTTATGATATATGATATCATAGTTATGTATCATATCCTCTATGAAATATGATATCACATCTACGTGTCACATCGTTACATATATTAAGTCAAAAAATGAGAGATATGGTGTTAAAAGAATGTTACAATGGAATGTGTCCAATATTTACTGCTGGTACATTTGTTAAATAATTCACTTCCTAGACACTCAGCAGGTACTCACCTAGTTGTGTTTGCGGGGGTTGAGGTCTGGCTCTTTGGTCCCGCCTCTCAACCGTCAATCAACAGGTGTACAGATTCCTGAGCCTATCGGGCTCTGTCATATCTACACTTGAAACTGTGTATGGAGTCAGCCTCCACCACATCACTTCCTAATGCATTCCATTTGTCAACCACTCTGACACTAAAAAAGTTCTTTCTAATATCTCTGTGGCTCATTTGGGCACTCAGTTTCCACAGGTGATGGGTTCCCTGTGTACACACCTAGTTGTACTTGCGGGGGTTGAGCTCTGGTACTTTGGTCCCGCCTCTCAGCCGTCAATTAACTGATGTACAGGTTCCTGAGCCTATGGGCTCTATCATATCTATATATTAAACTGTGTATGGAGTCAGCCTCCACCACATCACTGCCTAATGCATTCCGTCCGTTAACTACTCTGACACTGAAAACGTTCTTTCTAACGTCCCTGTGGCTCATTTGGGTACTCAGTTTCCACCTGTGTCCCCTTGTTCGCGTCCCACCCGAGTTAAACAGTTTGTCTTCATCTACCCAGTCAATTCCTCTGAGAAATTTGTAGGTAGTGATCATGTCTCCCTTAAGTCTTCTGTCTTTCAGTGTCGTGAGGTTTAGTTCTAGTAATAGTGAAATATTTATATAATATAATAATATTACCAAGTGTAATAGTTCCCAGCGTGGGCGGTGTTAGAGTGGGCGTGTGCACCATGGGCGGTGTTAGAGTGGGCGTGTGCACCATGGGCGGTGTTAGAGTGGGCGTGTGCACCATGGGCGGGGTGTTAGAGTGGGCGTGTGCACCATGGGCGGGGTGTTAGAGTGGGCGTGTGCACCATGGGCGGGTATTGGAGTGGGCGTGTGCACCATGGGCGGGGTGTTAGAGTGGGCGTGTGCACCATGGGCGGGTATTGGAGTGGGCGTGTGCACCATGGGCGGGTATTGGAGTGGGCGTGTGCACCATGGGTGGTGTTAGAGTGGGCGTGTGCACCATGGGTGGTGTTAGAGTGAGCGTGTGCACCATGGGCGGTGTTAGAGTGGGCGTGTGCACCATGGGCGGTGTTAGAGTGGGCGTGTGCACCATGGGCGGTGTTAGAGTGGGCGTGTGCACCATGGGTGGTGTTAGAGTGAGCGTGTGCACCATGGGCGGTGTTAGAGTGGGCGTGTGCACCATGGGTGGTGTTAGAGTGAGCGTGTGCACCATGGGTGGTGTTAGAGTGGGCGTGTGCACCATGGGTGGTGTTAGAGTGGGCGTGTGCACCATGGGTGGTGTTAGAGTGGGCGTGTGCACTATGGGCGGTGTTAGAGTGGGCGTGTGCACCATGGGCGGTGTTAGAGTGGGCGTGTGCACCATGGGTGGTGTTAGAGTGAGCGTGTGCACCATGGGCGGTGTTAGAGTGAGCGTGTGCACCATGGGTGGTGTTAGAGTGGGCGTGTGCACCATGGGAGGGTGTTAGAGTGGGCGTGTGCACCATGGGTGGGTGTTAGAGTGGGCGTGTGCACCATGGGCGGTGTTAGAGTGGGCGTGTGCACCATGGGCGGTGTTAGAGTGGGCGTGTGCAGCATGGGCGGTGTTAGAGTGGGCGTTTGCACCATGGGAGGGTGTTAGAGTGGGCGTGTGCACCATGGGTGGGTGTTAGAGTGGGCGTGTGCACCATGGGCGGTGTTAGAGTGGGCGTGTGCACCATGGGCGGTGTTAGAGTGGGCGTGTGCACCATGGGCGGGTGTTAGAGTGGGCATGTGCACCATGGGTGGTGTTAGAGTGAGCGTGTGCACCATGGGCGGTGTTAGAGTGAGCGTGTGCACCATGGGTGGGTGTTAGAGTGGGCGTGTGCACCATGGGCGGTGTTAGAGTGGGCGTGTGCACCATGGGTGGTGTTAGAGTGGGCGTGTGCACCATGGGCGGTGTTAGAGTGGGCGTGTGCACCATGGGAGGGTGTTAGAGTGGGCGTGTGCACCATGGGTGGGTGTTAGAGTGGGCGTGTGCACCATGGGCGGTGTTAGAGTGGGCGTGTGCACCATGGGCGGTGTTAGAGTGGGCGTGTGCAGCATGGGCGGTGTTAGAGTGGGCGTTTGCACCATGGGAGGGTGTTAGAGTGGGCGTGTGCACCATGGGTGGGTGTTAGAGTGGGCGTGTGCACCATGGGCGGTGTTAGAGTGGGCGTGTGCACCATGGACGGTGTTAGAGTGGGCGTGTGCACCATGGGCGGTGTTAGAGTGGGCGTGTGCACCATGGGCGGTGTTAGAGTGGTGTGTGTGCACCATGGGCGGTGTTAGAGTGGGCGTGTGCACCATGGGCGGTGTTAGAGTGGGCGTGTGCACCATGGGCGGTGTTAGAGTGGGCGTGATGTCTGCCAGCTGTAAGAGGATATAGAAGGGGTATATTTCTTCAGTAGTAGCTTCAAGAGGATGATATAATCTTGGTATACCTCCAAGATTAAGAATGTGAGTGTGGATATACCAGATGAAAGAATTGGAGAGCATATCTACTAGAGGACCTTGATGTGGAAGCTGAGTATACCTACAACAGGAGTATATATACACAAGAGAACGTAGTAGAAGTATACTTCCTAAAGTATATCGCATGTGAGGGATATATACCTACCAGAAGAGGTCTTATGGTACTGTAGAGAAGTTAAATGTTTCGAGACGTTAAAGGGAGTGGGAGTTGGTTCTGCTAGGAAGTACTACATGGAAGATAGCCCTGCTAGGAAGTACTACATGGAAGATAGCCCTGCTAGGAAGTACTACATGGAAGATAGCCCTGCTAGGAAGTTGTAGATGGAAGATAGCCCTGCTAGGAAGTTGTAGATGGAAGATAGCCCTGCTAGGAAGTGCTAGATGGAAGATAGCCCTGCTAGGAAGTGCTAGATGGAAGATAGCCCTGCTAGGAAGTACAAGAAAGGAGTTAATAGCCCTGCTAGGAAGTACAAGAAAGGAGTTAATAGCCCTGCTAGGAAGTACTAGAAGGAAGTATACCTTTTGTACTGGCTAATGTTAGGGGGTGTTAGTTTACAGCTGCCAAGGGGGTGGTAAGCGACATTTCCGGAGGAACAGGTGTCTGACAGGTATTAACCGCTGCTGGAGGGGGGGGGGGGGGGGGTAGAGGGGGTCTGGGGTTGGGGGGTGGCAGAGGATAGCTAGCAGGTGGGGTTGGACAGGTGTCGGGTTCAGCCACTGGTTGGAAGGTTGGGGGTTTGGAGGTGAAGAACACGGAGGGGGGGGGGAGGGGGTAGAGAGAACACGTGGAGGGGGAGGGAGGGGCAGAGAGAACACGTGGAGGGAGGGGGGGAGGGGTAGAAAGAACACGTGGAGGGGAGAACAGAGAGAACACGTGGAGGGGGGAGGGAGGGGCAGAGAGAACACGTGGAGGGGGGGAGGGAGGGGTAGAGAGAACACGTGGAGGGGAGGGAGGGGCAGAGAAAACACGTGGAGGGAGGAGGGAGGAGCAGAGAGAACACGTGGAAGGGGGGGGGGGGGGGCAGAGAGAACACGTGGAGGCGGGGGGGGGGGGGGAAGGGCAGAGAGAACACGTGGAGGGGGGGAGGAGCAGAGAGAAACACGTGGAAGGGGGGGAGGGGCAGAGAGAACACGTGGAGGCGGGGAGGGGGGGAGGGGCAGAGAGAACACGTGGAGGGGGGAGGAGGGGTAGAGAGAACACGTGGAGGGGAGGGATTGGCAGAGAGAACACGTGGAGGGAAGGGGGAGGGGCAGAGAGAACACGTGGAGGGGGGAGGGGCAGAGAGAAACACGTGGAGGCGGGGGGGAAGGGGCAGAGAGAACACGTAGAGGGGGGGGGGAGGGGCAGAGAGAACACGTGGAGGGGGGGGGGAGGGGCAGAGAGAACACGTGGAGGGGGGGGGAGGTAGGGGTAGAGAGAACACGTGAACGCTGGGGGGGGGAGGGGCAGAGAGAACACGTGGAGGGGGGGAGGGGCAGAGAGAACACGTGGAGGGGGGGGAGGGGTAGAGAGAACACGTGGGAGGGGGGGGAAAGGGGTAGAGAGAACACGTGGAGGGGGGAGGGGTAGAGAGAACACGTTGAGGGGGGGGAGGGGCAGAGAGAACACGTGGAGGGGAGGGAGGGGCAGAGAGAACACGTGGAGGAGGGAGGGGCAGAGAGAACACGTGGGGGGGGGGGGGGGGGGCAGAGAGAACACGTGGGAGGGGGGAGGGAGGGGCAGAGAGAACACGTGGAGGGGAGGGGGAGGGGCAGAGAGAACACGTGGAGGGGGGGGGGAGGGGCAGAGAGAACACGTGGAGGGGGAGGGAGGGGTAGAGAGAACACGTGGAGGGGAGGGATTGGCAGAGAGAACACGTGGAGGGAAGGGGGAGGGGCAGAGAGAACACGTGGAGGCGGGGGGGGGGGGCGAAGGGGCAGAGAGAACACGTAGAGGGGGGGGGGGGAGGGGCAGAGAGAACACGTGGAAGGGGGGGGGAGGGGCAGAGAGAACACGTGGAGGGGGGAGGTAGGGGTAGAGAGAACACGTAGAGGGGAGGGAGGGGCAGAGAGAACACGTGGAGGGAGGGGGGAGGGGCAGAGAGAACACGTGGAGGGGGGGGGGGGGGCAGAGAGAACACGTGGAGGGGGGAGGGGCAGAGAGAACACGTGAACGCGGGGGGGGGGGAGGGGCAGAGAGAACACGTGGAGGGGGGGAGGGGTAGAGAGAACACGTGGAGGGGGGGAAAGGGGTAGAGAGAACACGTGGAGGGGGGAGGGGTAGAGAGAACACGTTGAGGGGGGGGAGGGGCAGAGAGAACACGTGGAGGGGGGGGGGGGAGGGGCAGAGAGAACACGTGGAGGGGGGAGGTAGGGGTAGAGAGAACACGTGGAGGGGGGGAGGTAGGGGTAGAGAGAACACGTGGAGGGGAGGGAGGGGCAGAGAGAACACGTGGAGGGGGGGGGGTAGGGGTAGAGAGAACACGTGGAGGGGAGGGAGGGGCAGAGAGAACACGTGGAGGGAGGGAGGGGCAGAGAGAACACGTGGAGGGGAGGGAGGGGCAGAGAGAACACGTGGAGGGGGGGAGGGGGCAGAGAGAACACGTGGAGGCGGGGGGGAGGGGCAGAGAGAACACGTGGAGGGGGGGGGGAGGGCCAGAGAGAACACGTGGAGGGGGAGGAAAGGGATAGAGAGAGACACACGTGGAGGGGGGAGGGGTAGAGAGAACACGTGGAGGGAGGGGGGAGGGGCAGAGAGAACACGTGGAGGGGGGGAGGGGCAGAGAGAACACGTGGAGGCGGGGGGGGAGGGGCAGAGAGAACACGTGGAGGGGGGGGGGAGGGGCAGAGAGAACACGTGGAGGGGAGGAAAGGGATAGAGAGAACACGTGGAGGGGGGGGGGGTAGAGAGAAACACGTTGAGGAGGGGGAGGGGCAGAGAGAGAACACGTGGAGGGGGGGGGTAGGGGCAGAGAGAACACGTGGAGGGGGGGGGGGAGGGGGATGAATGCAATATACAAGAGGAAGCAGACAAATCAATGCAGCCGAGAGGTGTAATGAACGCGTCTGGTTTGTGTCACCAGACTGTCGGGGGATGCATGTGGCAAGGTGGGGGGGCGGGGGTGGGGGGTGTGGGGGAGGGGGGAGTAGGTGCTTGCGGCGGTGCTGGAGTGTTGGCCAGGCGCACTGATAGGTGGGGGGGGGGAAGATGTGATTGCAATGATTGGGGAGGATGGTGGAGTGATTGGGGAGGATGGTGGAGTGATTGGGGAGGATGGTGGAGTGATTGGGAAGGATGGTGCAGTGATTCGGGGAGGATGGTGCATTGATTGGGAAGGATGATGCATTGATTGGGGAGGATGGTGGAGTGATTGGGGAGGATGGTGGAGTGATTGGGGAGGATGGTGGAGTGATTGGGGAGGATGGTGGAGTGATTGGGAAGGATGGTGCAGTGATTCGGGGAGAATGGTGCATTGATTGGAAAGGATGATGCATTGATTGGGGAGGATGGTAGTGATTGGGGAGGATGGTGGAGTGATTGGGGAGGATGGTGGAGTGATTGGGGAGGATGGTGAAGTGACTGGAGCTAAGGAGCAGTGACTGGGGTTAAGGAGCAGTGACTGGGGTTAAGGAGCAGTGACTGGGGCTAAGGAGCAGTGACTGGGGTTAAGGAGCAGTGACTGGGGCTAAGGAGCAGTGACTGGGGCTAAGGAGCAGTGACTGGGGCTAAGGAGCAGTGACTGGGGTTAAGGAGCAGTGACTGGGGTTAAGGAGCAGTGACTGGGGCTAAGGAGCAGTGACTGAGGCTAAGGAGCAGTGACTGGGGTTAAGGAGCAGTGACTGGGGCTAAGGAGCAGTGACTGAGGCTAAGGAGCAGTGACTGGGGTTAAGGAGCAGTGACTGGGGTTAAGGAGCAGTGACTGGGGCTAAGGAGCAGTGACTGAGGCTAAGGAGCAGTGACTGGGGTTAAGGAGCAGTGACTGGGGTTAAGGAGCAGTGACTGGGGCTAAGGAGCAGTGACTGAGGCTAAGGAGCAGTGACTGGGGTTAAGGAGCAGTGACTGGGGTTAAGGAGCAGTGACTGGGGCTAAGGAGCAGTGACTGAAGCTAAGGAACAGTGACTGGGGTTAAGGAGCAGTGACTGGGGTTAAGGAGCAGTGACTGGGGCTAAGGAGCAGTGACTGGGGTTAAGGAGCAGTGACTGGGGTTAAGGAGCAGTGACTGGGGTTAAGGAGCAGTGACTTGGGCTAAGGAGCAGTGACTGAAGCTAAGGAACAGTGACTGGGGTTAAG